ATAGTTTTTTACTACTGTTTAATTAAAGAGCTGTACTTTTTAATTTAAGAATCATAAATTTTAATTCAATGAATAATAATGAATAATGATCTGCATTGCACTACCGACTATTCCAATTTAATACACATTTTGTATCGCGGATCGATAGAATGACAAAATTATATTCTAGTCACAGTTATCGAGGCCAGTGTAGGATAATTATAATTTTATTTCACTATCAACGTCCCATCAACGGGATTTACAGTGATTCTTATTTAAATAAACATCAGTTTATTTGTTTAACGATGTTTATGGCACACATACATAACATCTATTGTCTTTAAAATTTATTGTTCATTGATAAACCATTTGTGCTTCTAAATTGGCTTGGGATCGATATTAAATAGCTATAGCTCTGATCTAATTTAATCACGATATGATTGAGAAAGGGACAGGAACAAAAATAGGAAAAATACTTCGGTGTTCGACAGCACAAATGCCAATTACCCTTAAATTATATTTCAATCGCGACAAATAAGTAAAATCGAAGACGACGCACTTTTATTAACGCGACAACAATGTATCGTGTGCTTTCGTTAAACTATAAATATTTAAATCTTTTATTCCTTGACTTAGAAAGTTCACCGTTCATTTCATAGGAAGCTACCTTAAAACCAGAAGATACTCGCCTCCTCCTACTTAAAAACTAGGAGAGCTTTAATAAAAAAAACAATCTTGATAAAGTAAATAGAATGTCTTTAAATTATTCGATGGACGATGTAACCAGTACTACGTCATTATAATTGATCAATATCTATATATAATGTGCCATAAAGCTTCAATTGGTTCGATTCAGTTAGATATCAGGCTATCACGCGTGGGGGTTGCGGAACTTCTCTCCGGCGTATTTCGCATTCGCTCCCAGCTCCTCTTCGATACGAAGAATCTGGTTGTATTTGGCCAGACGTTCCGAACGACACGGAGCACCGGTTTTTATCTGTCCAGTGGACAAGCCAACGACCAAATCGGCTATGAAAGTGTCTTCGGTTTCACCGGAGCGATGGGAGACCATGGTGCCCCATCCAGCGCTCTTAGCCAGCTTGTGAGCATTTATGGACTCGGTCACTGTGCCGATCTGATTGACCTTCAACAGCAGGCAGTTACACGCCTTCTTGTCGATGGCCGTCTTGATCCTATCATCGATAAAGGTGATATGAGATACGATAATATAATGATAACATAAAATATGCAATACTGATTTCTGACTGTTACCTCTCGGGGTTCGTCACGGTGAGATCGTCGCCGACGATTTGAATGGGTGTTGACGAAGTGATCGACGTCCACGAATCCCAATCATCCTGATCGAACGGATCCTCGATGGAAACGATCGGGAACTCCTTGACGAAGTCCAGATACAGATTCTTCAAAGCTTGTGGTTCCAGATATGTAGCGGGGTCGGACTTCTCGTTCTTGAAGTCCAAATCGTACTTGCCGCTCTTGTGGAATTCAGAGGCGGCCACGTCCATGCCAATTTTTATTTTTCCTTCGTATCCGGCAACCTGATTCGAGATTAGAATTTATAAAAATGGATCGATGAAGTTGTAGCTTATACAGAGCTGAAGATCTTTACTTAAGACGTACTTTGATGGCATCGATAATTAAGTTAAGAGCTTCCTTGTTCTCCAAAATGTTCGGTGCGAAGCCGCCCTCGTCTCCGACAGCCGTGGCATCAAGACCGAACTTCTTCTTAATACCATTCTTCAAATGGTGATACACTTCGGTACCCATTTTCATCGCTTCCGTGAAATTGGAAGCCCCAGTTGGTAGAATCATGAATTCCTGCATAGCAAGCTTGTTGCCGGCGTGCGAGCCACCGTTGATCACATTGAAAGCTGGGACTGGCAGGATTATGTTCGCGTTGCCGGCCAATTCTGCAATGTATCTGTACAAAATAATAAGAAGTGCTTAAAAATCGTAAATAGTAAGAAGTATCATCGGGAAGAACAGAAGCTGTTCTTACTTGTACAAAGGAACGCCCTTGTTAGCAGCTCCAGCTTTGCACACTGCCAAAGAGACTCCCAGAAGTGCGTTAGCACCCAACTTAGATTTGTTTGGCGTGCCATCGAGTTTCAGTAAAAAGTTATCAATATCCGTTTGCTGGGTGACTTCCAAGTTGGCCTATGAAACAAATAATGAACAAGTCAACTCAAGATCTAATATTTGATTGAAGTTTCCTAGTACCTTTAATAATTCAGGTGTAATAATAGTATTAATGTTGTCTACAGCCTTGAAGACAGATTTTCCATGGTATTTCGATTTATCTCCATCCCTAAGTTCCAAAGCTTCGTGGACACCGGTAGAAGCACCAGATGGTACCTCTGCTCTGAATAAACCTTTATCTGTTACAAGATCAACCTACAAAATAAAATGAATTCCAATCAATTTCATAATCGTAAGAGAGTTTTATGAGAGCTTAAGAGTTACATTTCAGTATAGTGTCAGTGTTGGCATAAATTATGTAATGCTTAAGAAAATTATGAGACAATTTCTTAAATGTTTCCTAGTATATTTATAAAATTCTTACCTCCACAGTAGGGTTACCACGGGAGTCGAAGATCTGACGTGCCTTGATGCTGACAATCGGCATTTCGCTGCTGCTACAAGTACTGTACTTTATCGATGTAAATCTAAAATAGAAACCGACAAGAATAACAGGATGCTCGCTGAAGTCAATCAAAGATCATTGTAAATTTTATCTCTTGCAATTAGTTTAACACGAACGTGACACGATACAACCTCCAAATTGTAACAGAGTAGCCTATTACTGTAAGAATGCTACGTTTTCGACTTGAGAATCATCGAGTAATTATTAAATAATCGTTGTCAAATGATTGTGTGAACGTGTAAAATACCGGTGAACGATCTTTTCCTGAAAGTATCTCAATCTCATATTTTCTACTTTGACCTTGACAAGGTCACTGGAATAGATCTATACGAGCAATTCCGAGCGGAATGAACGATCTTTCGGTTAAGAATGAACGAAATTCCTACGGATCACTTGAAACTGTTAATAATCGGGTGTTCAGTGACCTTACACGATGAAGTTTCGCCAATTGGCGACACGCGTTAAGAACATTCTCTCTTTGGATTTTCCTCGGCTAACAAAACACGGTGAACAAAATGGAGATAAAGAGTACCGATATGTGAAGCCGATGTGCCGGAATTTACAGTGAAGAACTGGAATTATTCGTGGGAAATACCGCTCACCTGACGCGCGACGATTCTCCTCGGCCGTGCGACGTAGAATGATATTATTTCACGTCCTACAGTTGACCTCTCGAGAGCCGCTATCCTATCGATTTTGATTCCGTTTCCTCCGGCTCGCCCAATCACGAGCTCTTCCTTCGATTCGAATTACTCCCCGACGCTGAACACGTATATTTGCACAGACGTTGTCTCGCAAAAATCTGATAGAACCCTTGGGATTAACTAAATTTTGTAAGAATGTTCAACGAAAGTATTACGAACAGGAAATCAAAGAGAAAATCAGCTGTGGGTTTTTATATTCGTTGGAAATCCCTAGCAGACTACTAGTGGACTACTATAGTTTAGCAGTGGGAGCTATATCTTCTTATAAAATGTTAAACACCGGGTCTCTTGAGCAATTTTAAATATATTGAGCAACTAAAATATTTTGATTATAAAATAGGATATATGGAGGAGCAGCTCATAAACTTTCATGATTGTATTAATAAGTCAAATAAACTGTTTGTTAATATTATTGTTAAAATAATAGACAATAAATGATACATTCAACTATAATTGTTAACTATAATACTGGTACCGCGGAATTGTAGCTATCAGGACCACGTGTTCTGACAGCATGCAGTGATAAATTCTATTTTGAATATTCTGTGATAACAATAATAATTTACTTACAGCTCCTCCAAAATTAAACCGAGTTATTACGATTGAGATCACTGTAAACAATTCTATATAATAATTCAAGGTAACGCAAAGTGGGATATTTTAATTTTAAAAAACGATACATAACCATACTCAGTCGGAGGATCTATGAATTACTTACTCGCTACGTCCTTTAAAATATATTTCTTAGATGCTCAAGTGTCGTGAACCAGTGTCCGCGTTCGCGATGTATTCTACGAAACGCAAGAGCGTAGAATCGTCGACGAACTCGAAGAAATTGAAGAGGAAACACAGTACCCCAGAGAGGAAGGTTTCGAGGAACGACACGAAAGTCAAAACGCGAAAGAAACCAAGAGAAACATCCGTAAAGCAGAACCTAGTCGGGACGAACGGAGTTCTCGCAAATAAAACACAAAATGTGAAGAAAAAAAGTAGTACAGTAATGTCAAGTAAGACGAGTTCAAACAAGAAGAGTGGACTGATACAAAAACTTGTACACAAAAAGGAAAATAAAAGGAAGGTCGAAGAAGCTGAGAAGTCTAAGTCGAGCGTGAAGAATACCCTTGTAACTGTGAATTCTGGCGTTGCAAAGATGAAACGAGTCAAGCATAAGCAGCAGAAACAAAGTAAGAAGATGAAGCTGGTGAAGAAAATCGACTTAGATTCGGTTGATCATATTCAACATAAAATGACAATTGAGAAGAATCATGAGAATCCATTGGAGACGAGTCGTGCAACGCTTGAGTGGTTAATTCAACCAGTGAAAGTTGAAGATTTCTTCGAGTAAGTTCAGCTGTAATTATCAAGGAACATCTTTGTCCAAATTTATTATGTTTCCAGAAAGAATTGGGAAAAGACACCGATCCACATTAAAAGGAACTTCCCTAAATACTATAAAATGTTAATGTCTACTCCAATGATCGATAAGATCTTAAGAGAGAATTCTGTTGTATATTCAAAGAACATCGATATCACCTCGTATGCAAATGATGTTAGAGAAACTCATAATCCTGTGGGCAGAGCACATCCCAATGTCGTCTGGGATTACTACAGGAATGGCTGCTCCGTTAGGCTGTTAAATCCACAGGCTTATATGCCAAAACTGTATTCGTTGAATGGTAATTACCTCGAACATGCAACAATATGTCAAAACAATACCGCTAAAATTCGTAATATTTACAGCAACACTCCAGGAGTTCTTCGGCTGCTTCGTAGGTGCGAATTCTTACTTGACTCCACCAAACAGCCAAGGTTTCGCACCTCACTACGACGACATCGAAGCTTTTATATTACAAATCGAGGGAAAGAAGAGGTGGAGGCTGTACAAACCACGGCATAAACACGAATACCTGTCGAGGTTCTCGTCTAGGAATTTCTTACAGTCAGAAATCGGCGAACCAATATTAGACACTGTGGTCAACGCTGGGGATCTGTTATACTTCCCACGAGGAACTATCCACCAGGGTGAAACGATAGACGATACCCACAGCCTTCACATCACGCTTAGCGTTTATCAGAAGAATAGCTGGGGCGATTTCATAGAAAAGCTACTTCCAGACGCTTTGTCCAACGCGGTAGAAAGTGATTGCGAATTCCGAAAGGGACTACCACCTGACTATCTGAGATACTGCGGTTGGTTGTACGACGACGTAGAAACCGACGTGAAAGAGGCGTTCAAAATGAAGATAAAGCACCTGTGCACTAAATTAATTGAGTACATTGACGTCGATATGGCTGCGGATCTGATGGCGAAGAATCACATTCAAGAGTTTCTGCCACCCGTTCTTTCGGAGACTGAAAAGAAGTGTTCCGTACTGGAAGACGGCTTGAGAATGATAGCGAACGGTGCAGTTGAGAATAGAGTACAAATAGAGCTTGATACAAGGATCAGATTACTGAGATATCATTGCATAAGGTGAAATGAAATTGATGTTCCATGAAATACTCGATACGAAATGGGCGATTCGTTTGTAAATTAACTGGTTATTGTTATTTTACCGTAGAGTAATCGCAGAGGAGGAGGTTTTTAGAATATATTACTCGACTGAAAATTCGAAGGAGTATCGCGAGTACGAACCTCAGTTTTTAGAAGTCGGCGTGGAATTCATACCAGCTATTCAAGAGATAATAACGCGATACCCTGAATTCATGCGCGTGGAAGATCTCCCGATCGATGGCGAAGACAACAAAGTAAGTATTAACGCTTAAAAATCGTTGCATAAGCACAGTGCCAGATATTATTTTTCGAAACTTTTTTTTTTCAGATACAGATAGCGAAGGATCTGTGGGAGAAGTGTCTAATCGTGACAGATATCCCGTTATGCCCACTGGATTAATCGTGTACATTTGTAAAAAGAAATATTGGAATTTAAACGTCGCTGAAGGTATTAATATGACGATATAATGAAATTGATGATTTGATATGTGCCATTAGTAAACTTGATATCATTTAGTAAACGCAGATTTGTAAAAAAAAACTCCTTTTTCATTAATACCCACCGTCAAAATTACTTGTATTAAAAAATTGTTCTTTCGTACGTTTACATCGTACAAATAATAAAAAATGTCATAGGTACATTTGTATTGGACCAGAATTGTTCAGGGGTTTCATGTATCAGTGTCCACTTTATTGTCTTTTCTAGCCTGAGTAATGTGATCCCTCTGCCTACCTAGCACGTATTCGTCGTACCCGAGATACCCATCGTGATCCAGATCGTCTATAGTCAATACAGTATCAACTAATCCTATACAAAAACAAAAAACAATTGCAAAAACAGACGTCGAAAAAGAGAATGCAAATTTACGTACCCACGATCATTGGGAAATCGTCCTCGTAATTAAGTTTGGCTTTTAAATTCTCGTCGTCGTGAAAAGAATGCTGAAGCGCGTAAAGGATTTCCAGTCCGTCCAACTTAGCATTATTATCGATATCGTGAATTCTATAATTAATAAATTAATCAGTAAATCACGTTTCCTTGTTTACACTTTCATAAGACATACTTGAAGTAGTGGAATTCGATTTCTTCCACGGTCATGTTAGAAAAGTCCATCTGCTCCGCCATGGGTCCGATGTCTTCCTTCAAATGCCTGAAATTTTATGTCTCGCTCACGGAAAGAAGATTTAATTAATTATTTTAACGCTTACGTAGCGTCGTGTAACAGTTCCGAATCTTGAGTTATCTTGACGTCCTTTTGGGGCGAGTAATGATGATGGGAGGCATCGTTTCGCGGGTGATGAGGTCCACGGAAACCATCCGAGAAGCCCATCATTAGAACCATGAGTATTCCACCAGTAAACATTTGTTTGCCTGAAAGCAAAGCAAATTTAATAGGTATTTTTTAAATAACAATCATCGAGACAAACACATTCTGCTTTGAATCAAAATTCTCTTTCATGTTCCAAAAATTATAATTCCTCACGGAGTATACATATTTTACATACTAATTTTTATATCGTTATACAATAAAAAAACATGCGTATTGTAAAGAATTAATTGAAAGTAATATGATCCACGTTAAACGATATCTCGCTTAAAGATTTTCAAGGAAGAGAGACGTAAGCTAGCACGAGGCCAAAGTTCCTGACGACTGATGTGTAGCAAATCTGGGGCCCGACGCCCCGTTCTGTTCGCCCCCCCGGGGTCCAATCTAAATCAATGGGCTTGTGGGTAATCGCATAATAATTACCGGGACCCCCCCTACCGCCCATCTGTCGCTAGCCAACGGGGTTTCAACCCCCTACAAGTGGCAACGTAGTAGACGTCTCAGCAGGTCCTATTGTCGACTGACCGGTGGAAGGAATCTATCACGCGGTGTGCCAGTTCTACAGATCTGCTGATTTCTATTCAAGTTAGGCAAGCCAGAGATACCAGCTCGCATCAAAAGAGATTATATCGTAAGTTAAAACACTATTAAATATAAATTAACAAATGTTTCGTCGATCCTTCATTTATTTCTTATCTAAATTGTAGTATTCTAATTTGATCATTCATCAGTGTGGTTGCATCGCATTTCAGCAATTTAAAAAAAAATGATTCAATACCAGAAAATGCGTATTACGTAGAACAACTGTTTTTGAAAAGTGCAACCCTAACAGTCCTAAGCGGAGCAAACATATCAAGCTTTTAGTCATAGTCAAATACTCGAGTATTGTTTCGAGAACAAACTCGGAGGTGTTAAAAGACACTGAATCCGTGGTACTTAGGAATCAATTTTCTATGGACTTAACGCTGGCTGGAGCGAGAATGCATATGTTGAGGGGGAGACTTTCCTCGAGGGGGCTCTCGATGCAAGTGGACCCCCCCGGGGCCTGGTCACCCTACGCGGAACAATCCCCCTTGTCCTTTGGTGTCGAAATCTATAAATAATTTATATCATTTGGTCCATTCACTATGGGGAGAGCCCATATGTACCTGTGTCGCCTTACAGGGGACTTGTCACCGCTCCAGATTTCTTTCCTCTTTTACAGTACTCCTGCATTAATCGTGTTTGAAGAGAGCACGAGAGGACGATTTAAATTGATACTTATAAAACAAGAGTACAAGTGCACCCTTCCAAATATTTTCTTTTTTTAATTTCATTAGAAGCAAGGAAGAGGACGAGGACTCTTGTCTATTATCATAAATTGACAGGCATTTGCGATATTTTGCGCAACCACATTAATTCGTATTAATTAGAATTATTTTAATATAAAATGAAATTAAAGATTTACCATTAATGAATTATAAGTATCTGCTTTTATTCAAAGAGAACGACTCTTTTACATATTTAAAGAACCCGCTCACCCCCGACCGGTTCGCAATCCGTGACTATCGAGTCGCGTATCTCGAATCGAGTAAGGGTAGTTTCAACCCCTATCGGATTAGGTTACTATATCCTAGCCTTAAATCTATCCGCTCTGCGAGCTCGATATCGGAGGCCGAAACTAAAATAGAATGAATGAGTCTTTTACCTGAATAAATTTCGTCTTAGAAATATCGGTGGATCGCTCGTTATTTTTGGGTGTAGTTTGCAAAGTGGTCGATTTTGCTTCTGTCAACGGAACGGGGCGACATTTATCGACCTTGTTCCATCGAGCACGCGTACTCGCGGAGTTGCTCTCTGGGGTAGTTTCCCCTTAAAGCGGGTCATTTCGGTTTTGAATTTTCAAGAATAAAATTAATTTGACAGATACAGAAATCTACATGAAAAAATCGATTGTTCAAATTCCAACGATGTTACAAATTATCCCACCGTCTGACTCTTTTACATATTTAAAGAACCCGCTCACCCCCGACCGGTTCGCAATCCGTGACTATCGAGTCGCGTATCTCGAATCGAGTAAGGGTAGTTTCAACCCCTATCGGATTAGGTTACTATATCCTAGCCTTAAATCTATCCGCTCTGCGAGCTCGATATCGGAGGCCGAAACTAAAATAGAATGAATGAGTCTTTTACCTGAATAAATTTCGTCTTAGAAATATCGGTGGATCGCTCGTTATTTTTGGGTGTAGTTTGCAAAGTGGTCGATTTTGCTTCTGTCAACGGAACGGGGCGACATTTATCGACCTTGTTCCATCGAGCACGCGTACTCGCGGAGTTGCTCTCTGGGGTAGTTTCCCCTTAAAGCGGGTCATTTCGGTTTTGAATTTTCAAGAATAAAATTAATTTGACAGATACAGAAATCTACATGAAAAAATCGATTGTTCAAATTCCAACGATGTTACAAATTATCCCACCGTCTATAATTAAGAGAATCTTTAAATTACCATAAACTGGAAAATATTATAAATTACATATTATAATATTAATTATATAATTTAATGAAAATGTCAGCAGTAGAAAGAATGAAAAATAAATATGGAATACTATTAGAAACTGGATAGTTTGTCGGATCTGTTACATAAATCGCATTACACTCTGGTTTCCCTAAAAAGCAGCAGAAATTCATCGCAAAAGATTCTGAGAAAAATGTATGCTGTTCTACCGTCTTTAATCGATTCTACGCTCACTTTCGATTAGAAAATAGAGGAGAGAGAACGTAGGAAGTCAACGGTAAGAAGAGATCGAGAGGAAATAAATATGAAATTAAACTAACGATGAAAACAAGTAGGAAAAAGAGCGGAGGGAAAATGGGAAACTCTACTAGCACATACGAGCAACAAAAAGGATGGTACAAAAGGAGGAGAGAGGAGCGTGGAAAGGAGGACGAGAGAAAAAAAAGTGATAGCGGAGAGGAAAAACAGGGAATTGGACAGTATGCGAGGATCGAAAAAGAAAAACAGAGGAACGGAGGAGTGGTAGGACGAAATAAAGTGGGAAAATAAAAGGTGGAAGAGAGGGAAACGTTCGCGAATCAGGAAGAGGGAACGAAGGGGATGCGTGTATGTGTCGAGGGTTGAAAACTAGTAGCGATGGCATTAAGCACCTCGCAAGTGCCATACAGCATTCGAGTATATAATACTCGAATATTAATGAAGTAAAAAAATCTATATGAGAGTGCCATAGAAAAATTAAATATCAGAATTCGAAAGAAGTCTCTTAAAAAAGGGAAAACCGTAATACGAGTATAAATGCAATTAATAAAAGATATAGTATATGTAAATCAACAGTTTTGAACAATAGTTACTTTAATAAATTTGTATAGAACAAACACATATCGTCAATCTTATTATTTTTATTAACATGTATAAGTAACTGGTAATTCGCTCTAATAATATGAAAATGAACTGGGATTGATCGTCGGGTAGTTAACGAATTGAACTTGATCCCATCTCTAAAAAGAGGTGGGTGGATAGGTGGGTGGCAGCGAGAAGGGGGGGGGGTGAAGAAGGTGGAAGAGGAGGACGAGAGGAGGGCGAGGGTGCGTTGCGTGCACGCGTGTGTGAGTGACAGAGAGGAACCAGGATGGGTCTCCGGTCGCCATGGCGACCACCGTCGCCTAAAGCTATGCTTTTATTGATTCCAAGCCGCAAACAATGTACAGGAGTGGATGTTTCGCTCTCTGTTCCCTCTCCCTCTATCTATCCGTCTGGATAGAGCCGAGGTGTATTAACAGGAACGGGTATGTATCCCGAAATACCGATACCCATGGGCACGTGCCCCAGAAAAGCTGGGTCACGCGAGGCAGCTGGAAACCCCCCCTCGGTTTCCATTAATTTATACTCGGCAAACTAAACTTACGTCTACCTCGCGATAGTCCAGCGAACTTAGATCAACACAATAAATACCCGAGTCCTGTCTGCCTATTTCATTTGTTGATCAGAACTGGACTTTGCCAAAAACGATTTTTCTTATGCTTTAACTTAATCTGCGTCTCAACTCGTGACTCAAAATTTCCTCGATAATTAAAACTGAACAAATCTTTAAGAGTGACTGGTATTCTTTTACACCTATTTATAAAAACATAAAATTATCTACCACTAGTCGGTTTTTAGTTATGGTACCACAGAGGATAGACAGACGAACGGATGATAGACTGTTGACTGATCACTGCAATTATCAAACAAAACCGTGTTAATTCTCGTTTGCCAAAGAGAAACGAAATTCTTTCTCTTTATTTCGAGCACCGAATCGAATCAATATAAGAACGAGCGTGAACCAAACGACGCGTGAGACCAACCGCGATCGAGTTTTCTACCCGATTGAAATGTAAACGGGGACCACCTATCGCGATATCTCGATCAGCGATTTCTAATAGGGAATCCGTTCACATGTGAAATTTCCTATTCTGCCCATTTGTTTGGTTCCTAAATCGGTGCCGCAGACAACGACTGTAAGTGAATCGTTGATTTATAAAATAATCCAGGCTTCTTTTACTATTTAATATTTAATCGAGTTTAAGACTGAAGTGAAACGCGACAGGAAAATTTGTACATCATAAATTTGCAGAGATTACTACGGGAAAAAGGGTCCGTAGATTTTCAATAATTATTCGCGACTGAACTCGCGGATATCTGCGGATGTGCGGAGACTCGGGCGGACGAGAGGAGGCAGAGGGGGTTGGCGGATTTCGAGAGTCGCGTTCAACCATCCGGAAGCTATGAATATATTATTCGACGGCCAGTTTCGGTAGTCCCGCCGATCGCTCGGATATACAGCCATCGATCACGGGCGCGTTGGCGCATCCCTTTGGGCCATTTTCATGCGTCAGAATTATTGCGACGCGTCCGCGCGTCGAACTCCGAATTTCGCGGAAAAAAATATATCAACAGGAAAAAAAGAAAAAATGTAGCCTCCGATAGTTTTACGAAATATCGAACGAAATAGGGAAGCCCAGGATTTCATGTCCGTGGGAGCGACTGTAACTATGATAGATGTTCAGATATAATAACTGCAATAATTATTACATAATAATTAACCAATTAACAAATCGACAGATTGTGCCACCGAGTTGTAACACATTTATTCTTTTATTATTCTTAGTTCTGCACACTTAGTAAAGAGAAAAAACATCGAAGGGGGTGGTAAGAGCTTTCCATAAAGCTTTTGCAAACCCTTTTTCGCCCTCCTTCGATTCAATCCACGAAGGTAAGCGGGAAATTGTTTTAAAAAATATTTTCTTAACCATGTTTACCCCCTTTTTTCGCCCAAGCGAAGAGAAACGAAAGGGGTGAGAATTGGTGACGCCACATCGCGGTTTTTCCGACTTGCACCCCCCTTTAAGGTTTCTCCACCCTTCCTCTTAGAGCGAACCGCCGTGTCCTCGATACAATTTTTTGAGGGAACAGTCTTAGGCAACCCTGAATAATGTTTACAGTCGAGGGTTGAAAACCTTTAAACGAGAAGCTTTCATTATCGCCGTAACATGTCGAATGGAAATTATGGCAAAATAGAAATGAAATTATATTTGTTACTTTTATTTGAAAGTTAATTCGGTTCACGATCCAGTAAATTTTACAATATTTAATTTCATTTCACTTTTAGACTGGAGATACTTTATTTTATCTTAGTTTTACACTTCACGCCTTTTTGGTTTCGTTTCCCGTTACTTTTAAACCAGCCCCTCCGCGGAACACAGCCTCGACGCTTTTTACCAGCGCGCTTTCCTCTTATTTTCGGCCAAGAGTTTCCCCAGTCAGCGTTACCTATGAACTCGTTCGAGAGTTTCTCTCGAACCGTGGGGAAGGAGAACGTCAAACAAATTTGCCTGGGAACATTAAACTGTAAAAAGCATCCCCCTTCTACACATGTATCATAGAATTAACAGAATCCATAATGCACGAAATACAAATTAATTCCGATATAGTCCAGCACTCCTTCAATGCACTTGTTTCTCTAAATTATTATTGCATTTATAATTCGTATCTGACTTAATGTCTCAATCGAAAGATTTTATATTTATGTCAAAGACGAACGAGATCCATAATGAAATTTCGTAAAATAATTTTGATGCAATCAGGGTAACAGTTTTTTTTGTAATGCAATTCCTTGTTTCAATATTTTTTATTATATTCAATTCATATCTGCCTCGTGTTGCAAATAAATGAGTGGGAAATAGTTGGTCGGTTACCAGAAGTTGGATCCATAGGGGATCATACTCGATCAAAATATCCTTGATCGAATACTTAATTACTTTGATATCGCTATCTTGTAGTAGACCAGGTTGGGAAGGGGGAGGAGGTTAGGGGGTCTGGTTCTAACCAGGCGACGTACATTATATAGATAGAAGGCAAGACTTCGGATGATGGGGTTCCAATTTGCCGCGGGGCGCCGTCAGGCTACGTTTAACAACTTTTTAATGGAGGCTTGGCGACCATCACCCCCCCCTGCCACCCTCTCCTTCCTTCCCCCGAACCCTTCAACCGCCAACGTCGACGGTGAGGATGAGGATGTTGAAACATTTATTCTAACGGGTGTCTTGACAAATAACTTTATCTTAACATCAGATCAGATAAGCAATCGTGATCTTGGCTCATGTGTATCACACAGAATTTCAACTTGTACAGGATCATGTAGGATCGTTCGTGTACGACGAATCTTAACTTACAGTGAAACGAGTAACCCCAGATTCTCAATCTATTTGAATTAAGTGAACTCAATTCTCTTGATACTCTCTTACATTAAAAATGATCTTGGATTCAGTAACCAGAGATCACTTTTAATTGCAATTACTTTTTTATAATGAAAGAACTGGAAATTAATGAATAAAATTATTCTAACAAATTTCTTTCGATTTTATATAAAAACGGAAAGTCTGTGCAGAGAGAGAGAAAGAGAGAGAGAGAGCGAATTATGTTTACGATAAATAGGAGATTTTGATAATAATAAAACGTTGTCGATAAAAATATTGCGAGGCTAGAGGAGCACGATTAGAGTCGAACGGGAATCGATTTTTCCTCTCGAAACGCACGCACTCACGCAGCAGAGGTACACATTCGCAGAGTCAACCCCCCGACAAACCACCCCCGCGATTCTCCACCCCTGATAAGCGTCCGTCCCTCTCGAGCTATCCACCCCTGCCGGAGCTATCCAGAGCTGGATGCCAGAATTTCAGAACCCAGCTCTCACCCCTCGGTCTCCATCCCCTACTGCGCGAATCTTCGGGGTATCCATCCAGGAATCTTGGGGATATCTTCATCCCTCTTAGAATCTCGGGTGCACACCT